CCCGGCAGCCCCGGGACCCAGCAGCTCCGCCTCCGGAATGCGAGCGCGGGGATGAAGATGCGTGAACCCCAACGTTCGCAGCAACGTTACTCAAAATAGCCCGAGAACGGGAAGGACCCAAAGGCCCGTCAACCCCCAACTGATGAATGGAATTTTTAATGCGCTAGGTACGTACATTAGAGTAAATCTCATCCTCTAAAAAAAAAAAAAAAGGAATGAAGAATAACAAGTGTTGGCGAGAATGCGGGAAACTGAAACCCCCGTGCTCCCTTGGTGGGATGTAAAATGATACCGCCGCTGGGAAAAGCAGCGTGGCGCTTCCTCAAAAAGTTACAAATAGAATTACCGTATGATCCAGAAGTTTCACTTCTGGATATACACCCAAAATAATTGGAAGCCGTGTCGCAAAGAGATGTTCGCACACTCTTGCAGCTCCGAAAAAGAAAATTCTGGCATATGCTATAATATGGATGAACCTTGAGGCCATGATGCTGAGTGAAATAAGCCAGTCACATAAAACAACAGCTTGTACTTTCACTTACATGAGGTACCTAGAGTGGTCAAAATCGTAGAGCCGGGAAGTAGAATGTCAGTTGGCAGGCAGGGGCTGGAGGGATAGGGAAGGGGGGGGTCACTGTTTAATAAGTACACAGTTTCAGTTTTGCAAGATGAAAAGAGTCCTGGAGGTGGATGGTGGTGATGGTTGCACAATATGAATGCACTTAACTCACTGAACTGTACACTTAAAAAATAGTTAACATTGTAAATATTATGTGGATTTTACCACAATAAGAAATTGTGGTAAAATATTGATATATGCTATAATATGGGTGAATCTTGAAAACATCATGTTAAGTAAAATAAGCCAGACACAAAAGGACAACTATTGTGATTCCACATATATGAGGCACCTAGAATAGGCAGATTCGTAGTCAGAAAGTAGAATGGTGTGAACCAGGAGAGGAGGAGAGGAGAGCTGTTGTTTAATGGACACAGAGTTTCTGTTTGGGATGATGAAAACGTTCTGGAAATGGATAGCGGTAATGGTTGTGCAGTACTGTGAATGCACTAATGTCATTGAACTGTACACTTAAAATGGTTTAAATGAGCTAGAACAGCTGAGATCTCCTTAACAAGGCATCCTAGGCCAAGCCCAGTTTGGCCTCCAGTTGTCCATAATGGAAAAGGGGCTGCCTGGGATCTGGACCTTTAGTCTGCTTGGCTGCTATCAGCTGTGTGACTAGGGCACCCTTTCCTACCTTACAAAATGGATGACTTGACTAGTCCTAAGTTACTGCCAGATTCTAACACTTCCTGTAGTGTCTTTCCCCAGACCATGGCCTTCCCTGGACATTTTGTCCTGTCATTTGCACAGTACTCCTGTCATTTGCAAAAATATCACAGCCCTTATCCATCTCTGAGCCTCAGGTCCTCTGGGACAGGGAACACTAGAGTGGTTAAGAGCATGGCATATGGAGTCACCTGCCTCTTTCCACCTAGCTCTGCACACAGGAGTTGTGTCACCTTGGGTGGTGTGATAA